TTCCCAAAATATAAGGACTAGGGGCCACCAAGCAGGTTTAAAAAAAATTAAAGTTTTCTTCACACAGCGCACAGTCAACCTGTGGAACTTCTTGCCTGAGGAGGTTGTGAAGTCTAGGACTATAACAGGGTTTAAAAGAGAACTAGATAAATTCATGTAGGTTAAGTCCATAAATGGCTATTAGCCAGGCTGGGTAAGGAATTGTGTCCCTGGCCTCTGTGTGTCAGAAGGTGGAGATGGATGGCAGAAGAGAGATGGCTTGATCATTCCCTGTGCGGTTCACTCCCTCTGGGGCACCTGGTATTGGCCGCTGTCGGCAGACAGGACGCTGGGCTGGATGGACCTTTGGCCTGACCCCGTCTGGCCGTTCTTATGTTCTCACGTGTGGCACAGAGAAACGCCAGAGCTTCAACCAAAGGAAGTGACGAAACCAACCTACTAGTTGTAAACAACACCCAGGAGGCAGATCTTCAATTTACATAGGAGGACCTGAGGTAGTGACAGGCTGGAGGCCACCCAGACCATTCGCCGAGGGGAGTGCTCAGCACACGCTGTACTAAGCCAGCTGCCCGTAGTCAGCAGGGCACCCTCAGCACACGCTGTACTAGGCCAGCCGCCTGTGATCAGCCGGGCGCACTCAGCACACGCTGTACTAGGCCAGCTGCCTGTGATCAGCCGGGCGCGCTCAGCACGCACTGTACTAGGCCAGCTGCCTGTAGTCAGCAGGGCACCCTCAGCACACGCTGTACTAGGCCAGCCGCCCATAGTCAGCAGGGCACCCTCAGCACACCTTGTACTAGACTCAGCACACGCTGTACTAAGCCAGCTGCCCGTAGTCAGCAGGGCACCCTCAGCACACGCTGGACTAAGCCAGCCGCCCGTTATCTGCCCGGAGCGCTTAGCGCACACTCTGCACCAGGCCAGGCACCCGTAATCAAACTAGCGCGCTCAACGCACACTCTGCTCCAGGCCAGCTGCCCGTTATGAGCCCGGCGTGCTCAGCACACACCTTAATAGGCTAGCCTCCTGTAATCCGTCCAGCGCTCAGCACACGCTGTACTAGACAAGCTGCCCATTATCACCCCAGCGCGCTCATCGCACACTCTGCACCAGGCCTACCACCTGTAATCAACCCAGTGTGCTCAGCCCACGCTATACTAGGCTTGCCTCAGCCTGGCGCGCTCAGCATACACTATACAGCACATTGGCTTGATTATGGGGGGCTGGCCTGGTGTGGAGTGTGCACTGAGCATCCTGCGCTGATTGCAGGTGGCTTGCCTGGTGCAGAGTGTGCGCTGAGCGCTCTGGGCTGATCACGGACGGCTGGCCTAGTTCTTGGGCTGATCACAGGCGGCTGGCCTAGTGCAGAGTGTGCACTGAGCGCACTGGACTGATCGCGGGCGTCTGGGCTGGTGCAGAGTGTGCGCTGAGCGCGCCGGGCTGATCGCAGGCGGCTGGGCTGGTGCAGAGTGTGCGCTGAGCACGCCGGGTTGATTGCGGGTGGCTGGCCTAATGCAGAGTGTGCGCTGAGCACGCCGGGCTGATCGCGGGCGGCTGGCCTAATGCAGAGTGTGCGCTGAGCGCGCCGGGCTGATCACGGGCAGCTGGCCTAGTGCAGAGTGTGCGCGGAGCACGCTGGGCTGATTACGGGCGGCTGGCCTAGTGCAGTGTGTGCGCTGAGCGCGCTGGGCTGATCACAGGCGGCTGGCCTAGTGCAGAGTGTGCACTGAGCGCAATGGACTGATCGTGGGCGGCTGGGCTTTTGCAGAGTGTGCGCTGAGCACGCCGGGCTGATCGCGGGCGGCTGGCCTAATGCAGAGTGTGCGCTGAGCGCGCCGGGCTGATCACGGGCGGCTGGCCTAGTGGCTGAGCGCGCCGGTCTGATCGCGGGCGGCTGGCCTAGTGCAGAGTGTGCGCTGAGCGCGCCGGGCTGATCACGGGCGGCTGGCCTAGTGGAGAGTGTGCGCTGAGCGCGCTGGGCTGATCGCGGGCGGCTGGCGTTACATTCCTAGAGCTCTGAGGGTATGTCTACACTACAAAGTTAGTTCGAACTAATGGACGTTAGTTCGAACTAACTTTCCTAGGCGCTACACTAGCGCTCCGTTAGTTCGAACTTAATTCGAACTAACGGAGCGCTTAGTTCGAACTAGGTAAACCTCATTTTA